GTATCAGTAACATGGCCTATGTGGATCAAAACTAGTTAATATCATATATAAAATTTACTAATAAACTTTTTTTAGTAAATATAAGAAAAAATTGTATCTTCTCCTTCAAAAAAAAAAGATACAACTATGAAATTAAGAGGGATTGTAAATAAATGTGATGGTAAACATGCTGACGGAGGGTTTTTTTAGTAAAATCATCTAAAAATGTTGAAAATACAGTTGAACTTTGAAGCATATAGGCTTGATGACTAATTAAATAGAACAAAAATCTTTCCACGATTTTATTTTTGGTGACTTAAGTAATAAGCTGGAAGAGAGTTTTTTTAATTTTATTAGTAAAAAAAGGATTTTAGGCTAGTTTGCAAAGTTCAAAAGTGCAAATCATTGAGTGGTAGCAGTAATCAAAAAGCATTTGAACAATGAATTGAAAGAAAAACGGGAAAACCGAACTGAAAACAATAAATGATATTGATATTAATATTAATATTATGTCGAAATTCCATTCAGAACAATGAAAACATGAAATTTAATTGGTTGATTGGTATGTCAGAGCACTATATAGTAAAACCGTTAGAAGCTTTATGAGGAATATGTTTTGCCTACCAAAAAAATAGCTGATTAGTACTTATTAATAATTACAAAGATGAAGAAAAAAACCATCAATAAAATCATTTACTATTACCATTTTTGAAAATGATTTACCATCTAAAACCAAAATAGAAATACCTTATCAGCAAACAAAAACCCAGAGAAAAAATTAGACCCTTTATTGAATTTTATAACTTTGGATCGATTACTCCAATTATCTAGTAGGTTATTTTATAAAAGTTTGAAACAAGAAGGTGTTGCGAAACTGTTAAATTCAAGGCCACAATCATATTATTGAGGGTTTCCAGCTTACTACCCTGAAATGTCTTTGTGACATAATAATAATGTTTTGTCCGGGTTTTGTTACATTTACATCAATCAAAACAAAATAAAAACAAAAAATTGTTTACACTATGTTCACTTTTTCTAATAATGTCACAATGGACAATAAATATATATTATATTATTTTATTTATTTACATATGTTTTTATCACATGTGAAGTTGACCGAATATCGATTAGTAAAAACTCATTTTCTAATTCTTTTCAGCCAGGATAAAAGCTGTACGCCAATAACTTTCAATAATTGATTGTCTTCCCAACCTCCTACTTTTTTTATCCTTGACATAAATTTATTAACTGGATCCTCAGCATTTGGGTTTTTTGATGAAAACGTCTTATAACAGCTTGATGTCTAACAACCAGAAATAATAATAATGATCAGCTATATTTATATAATTACTAATCTAAGGAATCAAACAATAATTACTTTTAAATATTTTTCAAATTGAGAAACTGTCCAATCAGCCTCCATCAAACGATATTGCTCACTCTCTTTAGTTCCATCGTAAATTTCAAATTTAACATTTTTAAATAAACGTTCAGGAATCTCAAATCCTCTATATAAATTCTCAAGTATCAATCTACCTTCTTTCTCCTTATAATCACCCATCAAATCTATATAATGATCAATCAACAATTCCGAAGCAGTTGGATAATTATCAAAAAGATTATAACTATAACCCCAAATTGCAAGTGTACCACCACCCCGGATGGTGACGATGGTAATTTAAGAACACGATAAGATCCCTCTAAAAATTTAGGTAAATCAAACCAATGAGCAGCCTCAGCGACAGTTAATAAATCAATTGAATAATCATCAAATTGATTGAGATTTTCAGCAATCGAGATCGAATATGTAATATTTGATTTTTTAACTGCATTTTCTAACATTATCGCTGATGAATCTACACCATAAACTTTTTTAAATGAATCGGCTAATACTTGAGTCACTTGACCTGTTCCAGTTGCCACGTCTAATGCTGCATCAAATGATCCATTATGTGATTTATGATAATTGTAAACTTTTTCGAATAATTTTGTGGATATCTTGAAAATGTATTTGAAGAGGAGAGAAATGAGGGAAGAAAGAATTTAAAAAAATATATTGAACAGTATATAGATATATAAACCTATATATATATAGGAACATCGAACCTACGTTAGACGATATGCATTATATGCTGCATTATAATCTATATTAGAAAATGTAGACATTACTTTCAAAAATTTTTGCCAGATAAACGCATACATATATATATATATATATTGTTTGTATATAATATCGGATATCGTATCACAAATTCTTTTTCACAAATCTATTACTCATTCTGAAAATGAAATATAAATATAAATAATAATAATGATTTTCGCATTTCGGTCTAAATATTATTATACATAATAATTGAAATAGTATTACAGAATGGAACAAGATGATTTCAAAAAAATGTTGAAAAAAAAATAGAAAATGTTACTTAGTACTTGAATATTATCTTGGTGATTTAATAAAAATCATCAAATTTTTCGATTGATGATGGCGTAATGGCAAAATTAAATTAACAAGTTGTAAAATTATCTGCGTATTAGAATTTATCCGCTATCTATTAGTATCCCCTTCTCTCAATAATCTCGTCTTAATCCAGTTATGTATTAGTATGTGTGAACAAGGTTTGTGGTGTGTAACGTGACCTTCAATTAAAATTCTTGAAAATTTACATATTATATTTATTTATTTATTTCATGTAAATATTTACATTTTGTACATAAAAACTTTAAGGATTTCAAATTTAACTTTAAAGTCTCCAATTAAATGTGTAATTAATCCAAAAGCATGGGCTAGATAATATATTTTTCATTTGCGTAAACTTTTATTTTCTTAATTCGCCGCGTCCTGTTTCTTGTAGATAAGTTGAAGATGCGTTTGCAATTCTGAGACAACTAGTTGGACAATTGAATCCTCTGATTAGGATTTTTTTTTTTTAATTAAATTTACAATATAATCAAATCCAAATTTTCAAATCATTTTACATACTAATAAACCTTTCTTTATTCTACTTGTCTTCTAGACAAGAAAAATGCGCAGAAGAAGCATGACAAAATCAACATCATCATTATATAATAATACATATAGCAATTGTTGAAAAGGTATGATTTACAATTAGGTTCATACAAGATAATTGCCAGAGAAAGGCTTAGTTATCAACAACATTCAAAGAATAAACCAACATAATAATGTTAAATGATATAAACAAGATGAAGTACTTGATCTGGTATCTTTTTTACATGAATGGATCTGGTGGCAATATAATTTCCTGTTCCTGCACAGGTCCAAATCTGCAATATTACTAAATCAGGATTGTTCCTTTACATCTAAAGCTAGTGAGTAGGTTTTTCCACAATGAAGAACTTTGGGTACTGAAGTCTAAATTAATTATTGCTTTGTTATAAGAATTTTGCTCAAACCAAACTGGGGTAATTAAATCTATTAATATGATGGTAATTTTGCCCCTTAAATCTATCCATAATTTAATAATGATAACATCACCTCTTTCTATCAATTTACAAGTACTAAAAATGCCCTACGAAAGATTATTTTATGTAGAAGGCGGTGACCTTTGAATTCTGCAGTATCACATATACCAGTAGTACGATCGTGACATTACTTATCTGGTTAAATTTCACAAGAAAACCACGTGAGATTTTTAGATTGAATGATATCGGAATAATTTCAATTAAAATTTGATTAGTGCCAAAATATATTATTTGTGAATGTGCAGTCTCCCCACCACCTAATTCGCGTTTTTAAACATTCCTTCTAATAATTAATTCTTGTTATGCACATATATAGATAATTAGTTAATTTGTTTTAATCGCAGCCACCATAATTTCTACGCTTGGTACATCCCTGGACAAACTTTATCGTTATATGAGAGTTTTAGTAACAAACTGTATTCTAACTTTGAAATTTCAAAAGAATTTATTTATTGGATTTTGGAAATTTTAATATTAGAAAAGCAACTTGTATGTCCATATCACATAAAATTTAGGGATTGGAATTTATAGAAAAAGTGCACAAATGATGGCTAGCGTGTCCCCATACATACATTGATTTGCGGTACCACGTTTTTTCTTGAGAGGTTTTTGGGAACGCTGATCTCCAGAGACAATCTAAAAATCTCTTATTATTATTATTATTATTATTAAATAACCCGCAAGCAGGTTTTGATCCATTTAGCTTACTAGAAATCTCCTTTGCCCATTTGATTGATGAAGTCAAACTTTTAACCCTGGAAATTTATGTGATATAATTTCCCAATTTTTTTTATTATGCATATATTAAAATTTTTTTGAATTGAATTAAAAAAATTTAATTTTAAAAAAGGAAAAACTCAAATCATTCATTTCATCATTCCATCATTTTAACAAGTTTAACACAAAAAAATTTTTTTTTTAAAGTTTTTTAATTAACATTAATTAAAAAAAAAAAGATTATAATATGTATTAATAAATATTGTATCTATTTATTTGTTTATTTTATCAATCACACTTTCTTTCTCTTGAACCTTTTTTTTCCTCAAAAAAAAAAAATTTATTATTATTATTATTGTTATTAAATAAATAAATAATAGTAATAATAATAATCTTTCGCCGTATCGTTACCATCACCACATATCATACATATCATACATCATATATCATATATCATATATCATAATACTTTTTTTCTTCTCCTTCTACCTGACGAATACTTTTTTCTCCGTGTCAATAAATATATAATAATAATAATAATCAATAACAATAAAAGCAATATAAACGAGAAAGATTTCGGTTATTTGGTAGTTGGCAGTAGAGAGAAAATTTATTTGTTTTAGTTTATTTATTATTTTAAATAATCTTTTTTTTAAAAAAACAAATAATAATAATAAATAATAAATAATATATAAACATCAGCATATATTATTATTATCATATAAATATAACAACAATCTTTTTACCTTTTTTTTTCATTTATTTTTCGGATTAAATAAATTTTTTGTTTACGATTTTCTTAAAATAAATTTGCAATGATGATAATGTCAGCACCACAAACACCTCGTCTTAAATCAAAATTATCGTTGGATATACCACCTTCAAGTTATTCGGATTTTAACTCTCCAATTTCTCCCTCTTCTCCCTTTAATCCTATACCTTCCCCAACTCTTTCTGGCTCATGGTATGTAAATAAATCTCAGGCCGAACTTACCGCATTAGTTAAAGAGGCCTATAACTTTATAAAAGAAAAGGAAAGAGGTAATTAAACATTTTATTTATTATGGTTGTTTCGATGATATGATTTTATCATTACTACCACGTAATATAATCTTATCACAAGTCAATCAATTAGTTAATCAATCAGTTAGTCAATGAGCTTATTATTGTCTTGCATTATTTTTTTTAAAAAGATCTTACGTTAGCAGCAGAAATTGGGAAAAGTCTTTTAGAAAACAACATTGCTTTAAAAGCAAAATATGAAGTACTTTTAGGTCAATACCAAAATCTACAAAGACAACAACAAAAGGCGGCCGCCATCGCATTACAAGCTAATGCCATTAAAAAACCATCAGCTGTGCCCATAGCTCGACCAAACAGTTCGCTGGATCCTTTTATGGGAGATACCAGTGACTTTGAGGAAAGTGATACAGATTCAATTAATAATGGGTACGCCAGTTCTACTGATATGCATTCATCAACAGCTTCTAACAATTTGGTTAGAAGATATTATAGTAATACTATAAATAAAAAAAAAAAAAAAGACCATCAGCAAAAATCTGGTTTAACGTTTAAGGATATTGAAAGTATTAATGAATTGGAATCGAGAAATCAAGATCTTCAAACGAGACTCGATGAAGTAATAAAAGAATTCGATGAATCCGATAAATCCAATAAAGCAAAAATACGTAAACTAGAAGCTGATTTAAAACATTATCGGGATGAGTATTCTCTAGCAACGCAAAAAATTGAAGATCTTGATAATGAAACTAAACGCCTGATTCAAAAACAAACATCGGATTTTTGGAAAACAAAATACGATAAAAAATCATCTAAAAATGACGAATTTATTGAAATTCTAGTGAATAAAGTGGCTGAATTGGAAGAACAAAATCATAATATTGAAAGGGCGAAAGCTGAAACTGAAAAAAAATTGTCTAGAGTCATAGGAGAACTGGACATGTTACAAGAAGAATTTAATGAACTGGTCGACCAATCTAAAAACTACGACATATTACAATTAGAAAATCAAGAACAATCACAACTTATCATTCAACTGAGAGATCGTTTAGAAGAAGAACAATCAAAGGTTGTTAGCTTGAGGTCAGGAATACTGTATTCAAGATCCAATTCGAGATCAAATTCATTTTCAGAAAATGCATTAAGGAGATTGAGTGATCCAGATAGAATGAGATCGTTGTTTGGAACAGTGCCACAAACACCAACAGGACCAACACCTTCATCAAGTGGTAACGGAGGAGGCGGATTGGGTGGACTAGGAGGCAAAATCAAACGGACTTTACTTTCAGAATTGGAAAATGAATGGTTTAGAGAATTAACATTGTTTCAACGTGATATTAAGAAATCAGGAGGAAATGACGATGGATCACCGCCGTTTTCGCCAGTTTTATCAGAAAGAGCCCTGTCAGACTATTTCTTAAATAATGGATCACATGTAGATGATGATGATGTATCAAATATTGATTATTTATCAGAGTTTAGCTTCATTGAAGAATTCGATACAGACAATGAGAAAGCAATAAGAATAAGAGAATGGTTTTGGAGAAGGTGGGCAAGGAATGTCTATCTATTCTTTAGATTAATCTGGAGATGGATTAAATTTATTCTAATCTTGATTGCAGCCAATATAATGGCAATATACCGTGGACCTGATGATATTCTACCTGATGATATGTAAAACTTTCTTAAATATTATAATATAAATTAGAATAAAGAGGAGAAAGATCTTTAATTTTATATATATTATTATATATATATAATAATTTTTGATTTTTATTTTGAAGCATATATATATATATATTCATTAACATTTATCACTATCATTTAAAAAAATTTTTTTTTTTTGGCTTTTTTTATTCTGATTTCAAATTATTAATTTATATATATTATGGAGGTGTGGATTTTAATATTTTTTTATCACCCACCGACTTAATACACATATATATATATACACAAATTTTTTTAAATTATTGTTATTTTTTTTTTTTTTTTACACACAAAATTATATAAATCACAAAAAAAAAATATATTTTTATATACTCACTCATTTTAAACATGCGTAATCAATCAATTTATATATAATAATAACACAGCATCCTTTAAACACTGATATTTTTCCAGAAGACTCAAAACGACGCAATACATGATGTGATTATAAAATTTATTTTGTTTGTAACTTTAATTTGAATACAGGTTATATTAATAAGACGTGTGTGTACTAAAAAACTAAAGCAAGTGCTAATTCTATAACAAAAGCTGACATTCTAAAACGCGTTTATGTCGAAAAAAACTTAAAAAGTCAAAAAAAAATAACTCAAACAAATAATCATTTGATATTGTATGTTTGATTGTAAAATGGTTCTAATTGGCATATATGATGGTGAAATTCGATTGGAACTTCGAAATCGAAATCGAAACTCTAAATCAAAATCAAAGTCAAATCAACGCTGTGACTCAAAACTCTTTAAACTCCAATAAAACGCCCTAAATTAGTTTCGGGTCACGACGTTGGTCAAGGTTGAAAATTGTAATTCATTTCAATAATAAATGCAATGAATGACCATTGAGGTTATTCATTTTATCAAATTACCTAATTAAGAAAAAGCTGGGGAAATGGATACATCATCTAAAGACGATATTTGAAAGCCAGTAACTCCACAAAATTTTATAATAAAAAGTTAACTAATATAATTAAGGCTGACATTTCGGATTATTATTCTTTGTCGGGGAAATCACGTAACAGTCACAGGACATGTCACGCAGATCAATAGGGAGTTGTAAAACATAGTAAATTTTTGGTGATCTGCATCATAGTAA